ATTTTTATTATAGAAAATGCATTAAAGGACCATTTTGTAGGTTTTTACAAAAGCTACAAGGCTATTTACATCAAGTTCCTTTAAAACTTTTAGTTTTAAAATGGGGTGAGCTTAAAGGGCTAAAACAAGGTAGTGCTCGCATATACATACACCTTTTAAACGTTTATATCTCACTTTGTCGTACAGAAAATTCCCGGTGAGGAAAATGTTTCGAATAAAAAAAACTATAATTGGATGCTGTAAGCATTTTTTATGGATCTCCAGTTGTTTTGTAGTTATTTTGAAGGGAAGGAGGTTTTTCACAAAATTGCAAAAATTCGTTTTTCACTTTTAGTTTAAATTATTTCAAAATTAAGTCTTTTAAACTGGTCACACTTCTAGAAGGTTATTAGAGAAAACTGCGAAAGGGGAAGGACTAATTTTAATTAGGGTGGTAATTAGAGGGTTGCTTGCGCTTTCTTTTCGCTGAAAAAAGTACGGATCTACTGTATTTTAATTGTAATTCACTTAATTTTTATGCTAAAGTTTGTTTTTTAAAAAAAGAAGAAAGCTTTTTTAATACTCGAAATATTCTACGATATTCTCGCATAGTTTTTCCGAAGCACATTTTACATTGAAATAAGTTACCAAAAACCATATCGCACACAAAGATCTCGATCAACTACCCACTAATTAATTCTATACTGTTGAGCTCCAACTTGAAAACCGAAATTTAATTAAATTTTGTTAATGTAACTTATTGTTCCTTCAACAATTTACTTTACTTCAAATATGCAGACTGTCGCATTCAGAGCGTGATACGATTGTTACATTGTAATTAAGTTAATTGCTTGCTCTAGATTGGTTTGTAATGACTGAAAATCCGATCTAATGAAACTTTACTACATCGCTTACCTAAGTGTAACCAGAAATTCAATTTATTTGTTAAACACCGAGAATTTGCATCCTTGCAATACCATATAAGCTGTTAATACTGATGGCATTACGTGTATAAGTAGTTAATGAGGAAGATCGCCACGAAAGATAAACTTCACAACGAAAAAATCGGCGGCTACCATTTAGGGTGAATTCATATTCGCAGCATAGGAATATCAATAATAAAATTGAAAGTTCATCATTCTATCCTTGAAAAATCACCCTAAACAGTCAATTAGCCTGGTACAGAGTAACTTTGATGAAATCACATGAACACTGTAACCACTATGTAAATTGATATTATTTATAGGAAGGCTCAACGAAAACTCCCCCCCCCCCCATGTTTATTTTCTTGCAGTTTTTTAGTTGTTTTATATCCTAGATAGGGAGACTACTTCTTTTTAAATAAATGTTCTTACTTGTAAATATTATTTCTATTCAACTTGCTTCTGAGATCTCGATACCGTAAACCACTTACAATTCAATTGGGCTGGATATTGGAATGGTTTACTCTCGGCGATACTCTGTTTCAGTTTTAAACCGATTTGAGGCGATCGATTAGTTCGGTCGCGTCTCATTTAAACAGTTCGATTTGATGCGATACCTAAAGCTTCCTTTTTCCTCGCTCACAATATTTATGAAAGTATCTATAATCCTCTCCATTTTCTAGCTCAACAATAAAGTACATAATAAAAATGCTAATAGCAAAAGTTATAGCCAACCTTGATGGGTTATATTTTGTGCTAATCGGGACCCAAATGACGGAAAGGCTTCAAGTTTGAAGCTTGATGCTCAAAATAACCCGTCCGCGCCGAAATAACGCAAGAAATTTAGTTAGCGATAACCCAAACCTTCATTTGCAAAGAAATATTATATTATATTATATTATATTAATTATATTACTTAGTTATTATTTTTTTTTTACGAGTTAGTTACTTCATTAATTTTTACTCTCTCACTTTATAATTTTGTCCTATTCTAGGGTTTTGTATTACACCTGTTTGGACAATAAAGATTATTATTAAATATTCTTCTTCATTGTAAGTACGCCATTTGCATGTAATCTTCTTTATGTTACGGCTAGTATTTTATATTGCAAATTGCGACCTATGTAAAGTTATGAGTAAAGTTTTCTCACGTTGCTTCTCAGCGTTGGCTAGGTAACCGAATCTTACTACGAGTAAGGCGAGGCCCTTCAGGCATAGTTGAGTTTTCTTTTGATTTTATGAAAATTCGGGAACCGAGCTCACTTCTCTGGATGACATTCCTTTTTAAATGAAGGTAAGCGTTGCCTTTTTTATATTTTAGTTGTATTTGGCCATATTTGTACGCATTTGTGTTCGGAACATCAATTTGTGGAGACTTTTGTATTAAAATTAAAATTAAAAGCCGATGCTTCGGTTGTGAATTTAGGAACAGAGAACAATTCTCCTATGTATGGGGTGTTGCATTTAAAAAATGCCCACTTTGCGTCAAATCTCAGGAAAGGTAGTTAAACAATATTTTTGAATATGCCACTGTATTCTACGTAAAAATATTGCGATGCGAGAGTAGAAAAGTTACTGAAGAGGAAGAGAAGCTATCGAAAAGTAAATCCCACTTAATCTTTAGCTAATTAAAACACGCCCAAAAATGGAGGATTGTTAATGAGGGCGATCATTAATTAATTCTCATCGGTTAATGTTTTTAATTCTACCAATCCATGGTGTTTTCCAAAACCACACAATTAAAAAAAACATTTCATGCTACGAACTTTTCTCAGGGACTCGTTACTAGGCCAAAGAAATTGGAATAATGTGCAAAAGGCAGACTTCATTTCCAACACGGTTTAAAATTTTATTACTGAAATTCCACCACCAACGACTTTTTATCGGACAAATTAACTATCTAAATTTCAACGCCCTACACTTTCAAATAATATTCCAAAACCAAATCGGATTTACTTTTAAACTCAGAATCTAACACATTTGCAACGAAAATTCGAGAAAAATGTACAAAATTTCAATCCAATCTGATGACCTCTAACGTTACCGCTGTACGCAATTGAGCTTTTGTCGTAAAACTTTCGCTTCGTCATTAATAATCTAAAAAATGTAATTCTAATGTCATTCTAGTGTGATGCGAACACTCGGTATTTAACAAATAAATTAAATTTCTGGTTACCCTTAAGGTAAGCGATGTAATAAAGTTTCATTAGATCGGATTTTGAGCCATTACAAACCAATCTAGAGCAAGCTTAATTATAATGTGTCATTCGTATTACGCTTTGAGTATCGCCAGTCTGCATTTTGAAGCACAATAAATTGTCGACGGAGCAAAAAGGTACATTAACAAATTTAATTGAATTTAGGTTTTACCGCAGTATAGAATTAATTAATACGTATCCTGAGGCACTTCAACGATAGCTTGTGTGAAATATGGCCAATGGTGGTTAATACCTACGTATTCGTACTTTAATTAATAGCATGGATTCGGGGGAGATTTGTAGAGATGTACTATGTCAGTTTCATAAATCATAGTGCACTTTCCAGACAGTATCTACGGATTTCTATGGGAAACAGTGATATAGGGTACCCTGAAGTAAAGCAATCTAAACCTTTACGGATTTAATCGTGCTCTTTCACCATGAGGGTTTCAGTAATTTGAAGGGCCACAACGTTGATTAAATGGGGACGAAGTCGCTATTTAAAACTGAATAGTGTGTTGTGATTTTTTCATGTGCTCGATTTTCCGTCGTCTGTGTCTGTCTGTTCTATCGGGATCTCCATAAAGAATATATACAGCCGAGACTGCGTAAAACAGTGCAGATATCGCGAAATCCAAGAGTACTACGCAAAATATCTCCCTGAAAGCCGATCTGTAGAAATTATACGTGAGGAGTTGAAAATTTCCATCCGTTTGGAGGTCAGAGACTTGCTTCAATTGCAGTAATTACTTTTTATTGCGAAATACAGTGAACGGAGTTAATACTGAATAAACTTCTCTATTTGCATGCGAAGATTTGAACGTTTAGTAGATATAGATTTCTTTACGCTATTATTATTGTGTTAAATTTATGTGTTTAAGAAAAGTGAGGTACAGAACCTGTCAGCGTTTGTGTGTGAAGTTAAGTTATCGCAAATGTTTGTACGGCCAGATTAGTTAGATTATTAAAAGAGAAAAACTGTAGTAATTTAAGATTTTTAATATTTTTAACTATCGACCGCCTGAGTGCGGGGTAATTTATCCAAAGAAGCTTTGTAAGGTTTTCTTTTAGGAATTTCGTTTTAATTTTTCATTTCATGGCAAATCTTTGAAATTAAACATTCAAATCTAAAGGAATAATACAGTCCGATATTCAGAGCAGGATCTTCCTTGCAAATGCAATGATATGTTATTCGCTCTGTAACAGAATTAAAAATTCTATGATTTGGGCCCGAAGCGCTAAGGGGTGAAGGTAATGAAATTTTACTGTGAACGAACGTTCAGGTACTTGTACCTATATCTAACCGAAAATTGCTTGTATTCAATGCGTAACCTTGTATCCAATAAAAATGTATAATATTGCAACTATGCTATTAAAACGAACTAGATCAACAATATTGAAAATATATCGTATGTAGCACGATTGTCCATAATTAAACTGAGTAGTTGTCAGAAACATGTAGAAATAACGAGGGCTTACGTGTATATGTGAAGAATGTCTTAAAAATAAATATTAAGTGGGCAGTCCAGTACTTGTTACTCTTGTTAACAAACTTATCGATATAAATATGTAGTACATCAAAACATCTGATCTATTTTTAAGCAAAAATTTCTGCGTTCATTCCCCTTTAAACGTAAAGGGTGGAGAACTCTTAGTAATGGTTATTAAACTTCGACCGCTCTTAGTAAAAGAATTTATGACAAGAATTAAAACGTTGTTAGTAGGACAAGCAATTTTCTTGATAACTTTGACAATCCCTTTTTCCTGGTTAATTAATTCTTGTAATGTCCCCGTTTTTTCAATCGCAATTTTGGCGCAACTGAAACAAACGCCGCACAACAATAATTTCCCTTATAAGTTATAGAAAAAATGCGTACTCAAAAAAATAGTAGGTACTTACCGCTGTTGTTGTTAATAACATTTAAAAGTGCCGCGCTCGTGAGACGAGTTCTCCTCAGGATCCAAAACATGACCTTTGGAGCACCGAAAACGTACTGGCGTACGACACGAAATAAGCGAAAAGGGGTGGCGTGCGCCAGGTAACTTCCACCCCGACGTCGACGGCGCTCGTTCGGGCTTTCAGTTTAGGTACCACCACACACGCAACCGATGTAAAACTTTTTTGGATTTCGCATGTATAATTCAACCTTTAAAAGTTTGTAAATTTGCATATTCCGGTATTATATCGTTCAACCTTGGAGAAGTTTTGCAAAATGTGGAAAATTTGTTAAATTTATTCCATCCCCTTAGCGTTATACAGCGGCAACAAGGGCAATTAAATACCTAGTAGGTGTTCATTTCATAAATCAAAAGAAGGGTACAAAAGAAAGGGTGGAGGTATGATAATACCGTTCCCGCTCGACAAGAGAGACTTTGCGTGTAAGGGAAAAATTTATTGTAAGCTAAATGTGAATTACTAGTAGGACTTGGGGGGAAAATAAAACTATAGGCGCCATCTACCTGTCGCAATTTTAGTACAAGTTATCTGTTGAAGAATTCTTTTATGGATTATTAGGGAGACTATCCTGGAGGCATATAGAGATAAAGATTTCTACTGTCAATATAATATTTTCTCTAGTGGCATATTTCTAAAAATCTAAAGCACGCCTCTACAATAATTTTAGGCGTTCAGCAATTTCAAATACAACATCGAAAATCTCTTCATTTCACATCGTTCGTGATTCTATAAATCTTGAAATAATGGTGTCAGGTCATTTAGCCTAAAATGATACGACTGCTACTGCCAGCGCCCAGCAGTGGCATTAGTTGATAGTCTATGACATTGTTTAAATTAATGCGGGATGCGATGTTCCTTTTTGAAAATTTCTAATTCTCAAACGATTTAGAACGGTAAAATTATTAGGGGGTTGAAAACATTGCGCAGTTTCTAGAATAGAAAGATTTATAAGAAAATTGCTGAACGCATTTTCACAATTTGTGGGATAAGTCCTAGGACATGGCTTTCAAACGGATTCCTAAGGTTCCTAGTCAGTCCACTGCGAAAAGCACATGCTACATCACGCACAAGACCCGAGGGTCGGATTTCTTTCGAGTCGCCCTAATAAAAAGGTTAAATTTATTTCATTTAGTAGGTAATTAATGAGAAGAGACAACGTTTTATTCGCATCTTGAAAATTAAATGTTACATCAGAGACTAATAATAAGTTTAGGTAAACATTTCGTTATTTGCATGTCTTATCAACACAATTACATTTTACAATAATAAATTTAACTCTAGTGACATTTCGTTGTCAAAGCAGGAGTCTTTGAATTTATCAAATTGAATTTTAAAAAATTTTGCCAAATGTGTATTTTGTGGTAGGTACACATGAAAAGCACATTTTATACGGTCGGGAAAACACTTTTTATTATTAATTTTGGTGCGTAGAATCCAAAACAATTCGTACTTTTTCGATTAGAGTTCTCAATCTAAAGTTATAGACTAGAAACCAATTTCGAAATTCAAAGGGCTGTAACTTTTGAACTAGCCTTCAAACTGTTTGAAATTATGGATTCTACAGGCCAGATTCTATAAGAAAAAGTTTTTTTCCGGTCGTTCTGAGACAATCTTTTTTTGCGGCCTCAAAAAAAGGCAGTGTACAACCTTCCTTTTTTTCCAAAATTCGACTGCACCAAAATTTCTCGGGAAAACACTTTTTCTTATTCATTTTGGTGCGTAGAATCCAAAACAATTCGTACTTTTTCGATCAGACTTCTCAATCAAAAGTTATAGACTAGAAACCAATTTCGAATAAAAATTCAAAGGGCGTAACTTTTGAACTAGTAGCCCAATCTTGGAACTGTTTGAAATTATGGATTCTACAGGCCACATTCTATAAGAAAATGTTTTTTTCCGGTCGTTCTGAGACAATTTTTTTTTGCGGCCTCAAAAAAGGCAGTGTATAACCAACCTTCCCTTTTTACCAAAAATCGAATACACCAAAATTTCTCGGGAAAACACTTTTTCTTATTAATTTGGGTGCGTAGAATCCAAATCAATTCGTACTTTTTCGATCAGACTTCTTAATCAAAAGTTATAGACTAGAAACCATTTTCTAAAAAAATTCAAAGGGCTGTAACTTTTGCATTTGTCGCTGGAACAGTTGCAGGTAACTTTTGTCGCTGTCAAAGTGACAATTGCACTGCGGCTTATGCGATTTTTTATACATGAGTTGAATTGTCGTTAAAAATGTACTATGATTTTTGAGGCACTTTAGAAGTTCACCTTTTTGTGCTTTACAGGTGATGTTTTGTTGAGTTCTAAGTTAGGCTGAAGGTACTTTTTTTGTTAAACATTTTGATAATTAGCCATTTATTTTAATACAGAAGTTTTGAGGGATCCCGCAAATACCGGGATCCCGCGGGATTAACATTTAACAATCCCGCAAATACCGGGATTGAGATTTTGCTGCGGGATTGCATTCCCTACTTGTAACATAAGATACTCGTACAGCTGGAAGTGGATAGCTGCATTAGCTTGGGCAGACTATGACCATTGACTTTAACACACAGTCAATGCTTAGAGGTGTCTTTTTTCCACAATTCTGTTGGGATGGGAAAAATGCTGCGCATTCTTTAAAACTGCGGGCAGCATTCTTTACGTCCTTCAATATTCCACGCTAAAATACGGTTTGCCTTGCTCTTGCCCTTTATGAAAGCTGTGAAGCGATTACAGAACGGCGGGTCGGTGGGCCACATCAGGAATAAAGATACGGTAGCCGAAAAGAATAAGATTATCCATCTTTGAGTCTAGTTATCCATGAAGGTTAAGTTAATTGTCCTTTACTGTTCAATACGGCTTTCGATCATCATCAAGTTCGCTTTTATCCGAGAAGCCGCGTGCGTAGATAAAAAATTATTATACCTATAAAGCCGCGTCGAAGACGTTGATACTCAACGCAGGATTCGAGGGCCTGTTGAACTCCGATGAGAATGACGTCGGAAATAATCTGCGAGCCGTCTACGGAGTCGTGTAGAGCGGCGATATTATACGGTTGTGAATCAGTATCATCACCAACTTCTTCGTCAGAGTCAGCGGAAGGGAAACTGGAAAACACATCTACAACGATGCTCTTCGTACCTGACCACATGTGGGCAATGCATGGCTAATTTCTCCGTCAGAGGCTAAAGTCGTCATGGGTTGTGGATTTCTTAGAGTTCATAATGGGGATAAGTGGACGGTGATCCACTAGCAACTGAAACGGATGTCGAAGCAGGAAGTCTGGGTCCTGAAATGAGATAAAGTTCGCACTTTTGGGTAAAGTTTTAACAATTGGTACATATGCCCTTAACCCTTTCTCTTAAAGTTCCACTCTCATTTGCCCTGGAACCCCCGTTAGGGGGGTTGCGGTTGCCTACACAAATATGTTGGACTGTTTCGATTCTACTAAGCTCCATTGTTTTGAAAACACGTAGAATATTTGTGCGGTGAACCACTGGGGAACAGCTAAGCCGAAATAAGTAGGGGTTGCTTACACATTCACGCGCTAACAAACCGATTTCTATATTTATTTGATCTTTTTCAGTATTTTACCACCAAAGTTGCATAATTAGCAACAAGGATAAGTATTTAAATCACATACAGCTTGTATGGCACTCAGGGATATAATCTGAGCACGAATCGAGTATATACCTTTTTTAGGAGGGAAAGAATCAGGATTTTTTGTGTAAACACAGAGGCCATCACAGTTTTGCATGTTTTGCTTCATGTATATTTACATCGTTCTTCGTGGCATCCCTTTTGATCCACATTTAATCAGCTCCATGCACGCCTCTTATGGTGGGAGTTTTTCGGTCCATTTGTGATATGGGCGTCCATCTTTCATTTGGCGGCGGTCGCGCTAATTGCTGAGCACGTAGGTAAATCAAAACAGATATAGAGTCGGAATTTTCACCTATAGATTCAGTAAGAAAATCTCTTTGTCCTGGAATAGACTTTTTAATTTGCCTACTGTTATACAAAGATCTTGGATTTTTGCAGATAATAACATGAAGGAAGGGATTTTTCTCATTTCGTGGACATCGGTGGCTTCCGATGATCTGTCGTACATTTTTGCAACGAATTTTTCGAGATCTTGCCGCAAATCTTCATAAATTGTAATAGTGAGAGATGAAAATGCCTTCATTCCGTCGTCGGGACACTGGTTCCAAGTGTGGTTTTTCAGGCTATCGGGTATTCAATGGTGTGGGGTACCTTACCCCACACCATTGAATAAAAAAATTTTATTCAATGCCCACACGACATCAATGCGCTGTATATCGATTAGTGCATTCTTTAAGAATAAACAGGCGCTCAGCGTAGTCTCTGAAAGTTTTTCATCTAGGACTAGCATCAGATCAACGACTAGGAAGTAGGAGGTCAGCAACAAGCCAGAAACTGGATTTTGTGTGGGTGTCCGGGGTGGGAATTAGTCAGGGGTGAATATCTCCTGGGGTTAGTCACCTTCCCCCCCCCTCGTCTATTTCATCTTTAATTATCAGTTTACCATAATTTGCCCGTTCTACTGATGACGAGAGGGTTATATAAACCGTACATGACGTACCAAAGGGGTAAACAACCCGCACTGAAAGGATTCCTATTATACCCCCGAGTGCCATAAAAACTGTATGTGATTTAACTACTTATCTTTGTCATTGTCGCTAATTATGCAAATTTACAAGCAAAACACTGAAAAAACTCAAATAAATTTAGAATTCGGTTACTTAGCGCCTGAATGTGTAGGCAACCCTACTTTAACGGAGTACCCCCCCAATGTTCGACGCCAAATATTCTAAACGCGTTTTTACAACCATGGAATATAGTAGAGTTAAAGAAAAGATTCCAGTCAATTAGCTAATTTAGCAATCATCATTTATGTATGCGACCTCCTCTACCTAACGGTGGTTCCAGACCAAATTAGCATGGCGCCACGTCGGAACTTTAAAAGAAAGGGCAAAGAAAAGAGCATATGTGCCCATTTTCATAGCTTTACCCAAAAGTGTGCACTGTGGTGGGTTCAAGAAGATCACGAAGACTAATAGCTGCCACTTCTGCTTCAGTGTCAGGTGGCTAGTGGGCAAAGTTAGTGCTATTTCTAATCTGTGTGGGGATTTGGAGTAGTTAACCGTTACTTTTACCAACTGTAACTTTACTATCCGATAATGAAGGACCAGTAACTGGATGGGTTGAGGTGTGTGTCGTGGTCGAATTTCTAATACCTGGTGACTTTTGAAAGCACGCGACAGCGAAATGGTGTTTCTTACGACACTTTATACATATGTTATTCCTAGAGGGATATTCGCGAGCAGGTTT